AAAAGTTCAGACTGGACATAAGGAAAAACTTTTTCATGATGAGGGCAGTCAAACATCATAACAGACTGCTTAGAAAGGTCATGCAGTCTCCATCCTTGGAGGTTTTCAAGGCCAGACTGAATAAAGCTGTCAGCAGCCTAGTTTGATCTCACAGCCGATGCTGTTTTGAGTAAGAGGTGTCATTAAAGACCTTCTGAGGTCCTTTCCAACCTAAATTTGCCTATGAACTCAAGAGGCAACCTTTGAAGAGTGGAGGCGGTTTTAAAAAAAAAAAAGTTTATGCTTTACTTCTTGCACTTTTGTCCAAGCTCTTCTTATGTGTTTGGTATAATCTTCATCTCAGACCATTCTGCAAATCAGGTATTACTTTGCCGATAGTAATTGATTTTCACACCAATTTTACAACATTGTAAAAAAAGGCTAGAGAATTTTGAAACAGGACAGCAAGCAATCTCTTCTCTCTCTAAGTTAGATGTGTGGCAAACTCAGAACAAAACACTGAATACGTCATCATCAAGTAGCAGTGTCACATAGATCATACCAGGATAGCACTGAGATTCTTATCTTAACCAGTTACTGAAAGCTATTGGAAATGCTTCAACGTCAAAAGAAATGAGCTGTTGTACTAGTAATTCTCTTTTGGCCACCTTCAAATAAATCCACCATAATGGGGATTTTACTGAAAACTGAAAAAGACAGTTGCTTTGCCCAGAAATGTTTGGAACCTCTGGTTCTTCTCCAGTTAGTTGGGTTGGATGGAGACAGGATGATGGCCCTGCTCTCCTCAACAAAGCTGTATAAACATTAATTTGGTTATATTTAATAGAATGTTTATATATAACAGAGTAAGAAGAAGAAAAATAAAGACAGACAGATAAAGATTCTGGCAGACAAAGGTAATTTTAATATAATTTCCAAAAAAGCAAACATACAAAAGGGGAAAGACCTGTGGATTTTCCCACCTCTGACCAAACCCTTTCTCTTTCCAAAGCAACAATATAGCTGACTTTTATCTCAACTTGCACATCCGAAATTCTACGTAAAGCTTACCAATTTACATGGTAGCTGTGCTGATTTTTACAGAAAATCCAAATGCAGAAAAAACATAACTTTAATATTTCTTAATTGATTGTTTCTTAGTTGTTAATTTGATAAACATATATCTTCTGTAGTTTTGAACATACCAATTCGCCATGTACTTCTGACTAATTATGAATTTGCCAAAGAATGAAGTATCAACAACTTAAGGAAATACAGATCCTTGAGATTGATATGTGACTTTTGCCAATATATTGCTGTATTTTTATGTGAACAACCCAAATCCTTCCAAATGCATGACTATAAGCTTATCAATAGCATGAAAAATAATTGCTTCAATCTGGAACTATGTATATCTCAGAGAAATAGACTGTATTTTGCATTGCATAGTTCAAATTGGTTTAGTCTGATGTGTAAAATAAGTTCTTGCATAACTGGATATCATGCAATAAAGTAGTAGAGAGTCAACAGTGAACTGACGTATATAATTGCATTTAAATTTTCACATCTCATTTGTGTTTTACAACCATTTACCCTATTTTACTTTATCAAGTGTCATTGTTTATTCTGAAACCTGTATATCCTTCAAGGGTGTGTATTTTGCACAACATTTAATGTATTCAAATGAAAAAAAAAGTTGGGAAATTTTGAACTCTAGTATTACTTTCTAATAAAAATTTATTAGAAACTTGTATTAACTACAATGCAATCTCAGTATTCTAATCATGTGATATGAAAACTACTATTTCTGGGGAAGAAAATAAAAATCAGCAAAAGGTCTCAAATGAAATTTTATAGACTTTTGTAACCCAATTAACTACTATTTTTGCACAAGCATCTCTGGCTGCCAACTAGATGTAATTAATAAAGCCTTATGCAAATCCATGCAAACAAAACTACCATCAGTAATAATAAGTGTTCTCCAGATTAAAGATGTAGACAAGCATTAATATATTAGATAATTTTAACATTTGGAAAACATACAACAAATTCTCAATAAACAAACATATTTAGCACATTCTTGATTGGATGTTTTAGTTTTGCTTAATCTTAATGCAAGCTGAAGATACTGAGTGCAAATATTCAAAAATTATTTGCCGGAGAAATGGATTTTGCTGTCAAAGAAAAATCATTTCTATATCTTTACCAATTAAAACTGTACATCTAAAGTAGTTATGCATACCTGTTTCTAAACAGAAGAGAAGAGCAAAGCAAAGAATAAAAGTCTTTAACTAAAAGGAAACAGTGGACTGCAACACGAATTTCATTTGTTCCCCAAGCCTGAAAGGACATAAAGAATAGATTAGACTATATTTCAGGTTGTGTTGCCATTTTAAAATGAACTTCAGAAACACAAAACGAAAGAGAGGAAAAAAAAATCTTTTCATTTAAAACTTTTAAGACAAAAAAAACATTAATCTGCTCTTCTGCATTTTCATTTCTCTACTTTGAGACTGAACAAGACAAGAAAAGCATATTTGCAGAGTAGCCCCTTTGTCAAAGGCTTCCCAGTGTAGTTATTACAATGCTTTAACAATCCCAGCAAGCCCCTCTGAATGTACCTGCTTTAATTCATTGCTGTTTAGAAAGCAAATGGCAACGACCTACAAACCCTGAGGTAATCTTCTCTGAGACCTCTCATTCCCACCCATGCATTACTGTCACTAAGGATATTGAGCATTCCCATGCTTTCTGTTTATGAAACTTATTTTCCACTCTGTTGGCTTCTGCACACATTTATCCTTTTTTTTTTTTTCCCAGCTAATGTAAAGTGAAGCCCTCAGTTTGCTTCTAAGATACTGATATAACAGCTTGAAAGGGTCAGGATCAATAAAGGAAAGAGCAGTAAGTGTGTTGACATTTTTTAGGCCTAGCAGACTTAGGTTTGGCTGAACCTATGCTTTTTTGTGTTGTTTCCTGCAGGGCGCTCTGTGTGTAAAAATCATGCAGGGAGTGAATACATTTGCATGCAAATGCAGAAATGCTCATTGGAACATCTCAGTTGAAGAGAGTTTGGGAAGGAGACAACAGAGCACTGAGCTGGGACTCAGCATGTGTAGCTTCTATATGAAGCTGTCCGACTCAGCTTAGTGGCTCTGGGCAAATAATTTATCTGGTTTATCTTGTATATGTTTGAAATTTATTGAGGAAAAGTTCTGTGTCAGACTAATAACACATAACTTTTTTCCCCAAAGTATTCAGTCAGAATACATTCCCTTTTTCTTCTACTCTTCCTCTGCTTAACTCTATCAAGTCCCCATCCCCACCCTCAAAAAGAAAACCTTCCAGTTGTCCTTTGCTTTGGGTGCAATTGTTATCAGAAGATCCTTATAGCCAATGATGTACAAACACTACGGCAGTTACTGTGCTTCTCATCTCCTTTTAGTAAGAGTGAAGTGATGTGCTCACAGGAAAAGGGAACACATAAGACTATGAGATATATGGGAATAGGGGAGTCTCTCAGCCCATTTTCTTCTCCCATTAGAAAGGCTACCACTGCACCTCATAAATGTCCTCAGGTTTCACTACGGTGCTGAAGCATAAAGTACTTCTTTAGCAGTGCTAGTCAATAGATTTTACCCTTTTCCATATTGCTAAATTAGAATTTACAAACATTTTTTGATCAATGGTTCCTGCTCTCAGTGGCTCGATCCTTCAATCTGGGAGGTTTTCCCTTTCCTCACAAGCAGTCAAGGAGGAAAAAACTTCTTTTATCTGCCACGTTGACTCCAAATCCTTCTTCAGAACTTGCTGCTGAGCTGTCTCTTTACATACGACAGATCAGGTCCCTACATGTTTGTAATATGCAGGTCATACTTATGAAGTCTCTTTACTTTTTGTTCCCCTGCCTATGCTCAGTGATTGGTTGAGCTGTCCAGCCCTGCACTGCCAGGGTGACCAGAGTAAGTACTGTGTAAATCCCGCTCCATTCATTTTTGGCTACCTAGAGCAGCATGTAGCCCATCTTGTCTAACTGAAGTTCAGAACAGTTTTAGAATTGTTGACTGTCCTCTGTTCTGCAGCAATACCTTTCATAACTTGGGGCCTAATAGTTGTCAATGTTGACAATGCTTAGTCCCTTCTGAAACTGATGGATGATGCTAGATAATAGCCGGTGGCTGAAGAGGCATTTGAGACATTCCTGATATGGTATGATTTAGGAAATGATCACAGGACATGATGTGCTCTTGTTGTTAGATTACTGTACTTCACAAAATGAGACAGATCTGGACCTTCTAAATGCCTGAAATGTTTGTTGTAAGAAAGACATTTCTCTCTAACCTTCTTCTGGTGAGGTGCCTATAAATTCAACTTGATTTCATTTGCAGAAGAAACCTGACAACAGCTTTTCTAAATAAACACAAAAGGGATCCCAAAGCCTAAGTGTGTTAAGTGTTTGCTTTGGATGAGCGTAGGGAGGCTGTTCTTCCAGCCACCGTGTGTTTACCTGACAGTTTTCTGATAAGCAGTGTGATACCAAAGCCCCACTTTGTGACAGTGCTAACACCATCTGTCAGGTGCTGATAGCTTGCTGAATAATGCTGTCATCAGCACTCAAGTGCTGATGGAAAGTTATTGCTTCAGTAACCACTACCACTTTCATCTTCTGTCTAATTGGATGCTGCCACTAAAAACTATTATTCCAGAAAAAAAAAAAAAAAAAAAAAAAAAGCACGGGTCATTTTTCTTTGTCATGAAGAATTACTTCTAGGCTACCTTATAATGCCATTGTTGTGTATTTAGTGCTTTCTGCTTCCTGCCAATTTTACTTATCTACACTGTAAAGTAAATTTTATTGCCTACCTATGATTGCTTTCAGTACCTGATTGGGTAACAAATACCCATAGAAAGTTTCACTATACCTTGATATAGTGAAATACCTGTTAATGGCATACTCTGCCAGACACAGTAGGTCAGTCTGCCTCATGAGGTAGGGTACAGTGCAATCATTTGCGTAATCTTTATTTGGTGTCAATTGTTACCGTTAAATTTGTACCAGCTGAGAACCAGGCCAGATAGTTTAAAGAAAATGTATACAGAAAATTTTGGAAGTATTTTAATCATCAAGAAACCACATTCAAATGCATTTACTTAAGTGTACTGTGCAGGCTGTACAGACATGCATGTCCCAGAAAGTTCACTGATGGTGGCTGAGAAAAACAGACAGCCTTCATAGTTTTACGCTGCAGTATCGAGCTACTAAAATAAATACATGCAAAGAACCTCAAGTGTTTAGAACGGCTGAGAACATAATGTAATATAACTCAAGCCAGAATCAGTTCTCACTTGCGTCAGTATAAATGCGGATTAGAGCTATTTTGGCTTTAAAATGCTATACTGGAGATTTTGGTTTGGCTTTCTAGTTTTTGGCAGGATTTACCTTTCTTTTGCAGGATGTTCTGTCTTGCTTTAATGAAAGCTAGGATGTCAGCATCAGCCTGGCTGTCTCCAGTCAGAGGAATAGATGAACTTGGTGGGGTCCTGAAATAAGAAAGTAGACTTGTGGACCCAACTAAGACAGCTATATTTCTATTCCATTATCTCCTCTCTTCTTTCAGCATGGAAGACTTCGTTGTCCAGATACATTTTTAGGCATGGCGCACTTCAGAGGAGAACCAAGCTCAAGACTTCTTAATGCTGTTATGTAGACTCTTCAGATTAGCTAGTATCCTTTTAGTTTAGTAGAGCTACATGCTTATCAGTTATAAAACCTCTCACAAAGGGTTAAAAATATGGTATTGCTGAGTCAAAGACTTACTGTCAAGCGGAAAAGCCTAATATAATGAGTGTACCAAAGAAATGATGGATGTGCCCATCCATCTTTTATAGACCCCTCATAGAAACACATATTATGAAATACAGGTATTTTGTGTGCCCTGTATAATAACAATGTGCACTTCAGAATAAACTATATACAAGTCTACTGCATTATAATTGCAGTTTCCTTGGGAACTATTTAATCCAAATAGCTCTGCTTAAGTGTGTAGCAAGAGGAAACATTAAAAATAATCTTCAGAGGGTCAGACAGACAAATAGTAGTAGTTTTTCCTTACACAGAGAAAGGAGACAGATATTTGCAATTTCTTTCTAGTGTGACATTTCTTCAAATGGGAGTGGTAAATCAGAGAAAAAGCTATTTTCTATTTTCAAAGTTGTTAAAGAATGATAAAATGCTCTTTTGCACCCTTTCTAATAAATTTGTCAGTAAAAACATTTCTGTAAGAGCTACTAAGACAGTTTCAGTAAGTTACACCAGTACTATAAGTTATGTGTGTGTTTGCTTCAGGAAAAAATGCTGCTCTTTATTTGAACAGCTCAACAGTATTTTTGCCTACTGTCAGGGAATTAAGTTTTCATACATACCTAGAAGTAAACAATCACATGACATTCCTGATGTTTACTGACAGGGGCATCTCCCTTGTGCTGCCGAACCTCCAATCCCAGCTGACATCTTGTATCTATGCAGTTGAACTGTGACTTCTGCTTTTGACAGACCCTCCAGTGGTATGTAGTACCAGGTGATGTACTCCAGGTACTCCAGTACTGGAGTACTCCAGTACTCCAGGTGATGTAGTACAATGAAGCTACTCTAATTAGCTAAGAATTTGGCCCTGTGTCTTTAGCCTTAAGCACTAATGATAGAATGAGAAATACAGTGATAAAAATTACAATATGGAAGGACAAGTGGAACTAAAGGGAGAAACGTGGTTTTTTTTTTCCATATCCAACCTTTTGTAATTACAGTTATTTCCACTGTTCCTTATCTGGCTATTGCAGTAGAACATAGTTGTGCCTGACATAAAATAGAAGTCTGACATCTTTGTCTTTGTGCTACTAATTAAGTCTTCAGTTGCTGAATTAGTGAACCAAAATAGAAAAAATTCCAGAAACGACAGAATCACAGAATGGTAGGGGTTGGAAGGGACCTCTGAAGATCATCTGGTCCAACCCCCCTGCCAAGGCAGGATCACCCAGGGCAGGTTGCACAGGAATGCGTCCAGTCGGGTTTTGAAGGTCTCCAGAGAAGGAGACTCCACAACCTCTCTTGGGCAGCCTGTGCCAGTGCTCTGTCACCCTCACAGTAAAGAAGTTTTTCCTCATGTTGAGGTGGAACTTCCTGTGCTGCAGTTCGTGCCCATTGCCCCTTGTCCTGTCACTGGGCACTACTGAAAAGAGACTGGCTCCATCCTCCTGACAGCCACCCTTCAGATATTTATAGACATCGATAAGGTCCCCTCTCAGCCTTCTCTTCTCCAGACTAAACAGCCCAGGTCTCTCAGCCTTTCCTCATATGAGAGATGTTCCAGTCCCATGACAATGAACTTAATAAAATACCTCTGTTTATGTAATTTACAAGGTGATCTCAGAATACCCGTAAAGCACTATACTCTTACTGATTTTCATTTGATTAGCAACAATATAAAAAATTAAAGCTAAAATTCCATTTTAGCTTCTCTTTTTCTTCTGTTTCTCTTAAACACAAATGCAATTTAAAACACTAGGTTTGGGGGGATGAAATTTTCCATGATTTTTTGCTGTTCTAGAAATGGATGGTTTTGGAAAATGAAAGAAAAAAACGCTTGTGATTTGTTCTTTCTAATGCAGTAGGAAAAATAGTAACTTAACCATATTTTCCTAAGGGCCTTAATAGCCAGAACTGTTGAGCACAATAAGAATGTAACTTCTGAAGTATACTGGCTTGGCATGATGTTTTGGTGGGAGAAAAGAACATGGAAATGAGCACATTAGAAAAAGTAGAGACCCTGTAAAAAAACCCAAAAAACCAGTAGTTTCTGTTAACCCGCTAAGCTAATTTTCACAACGCAGTACCTCTTTTGAGAAAATATGACATGTAACCTTTGCCAAGCCTGACACACCCAGGCTGCTGGTGTCATTTCATTTTACTGGAATAATTAGTAGGAGGGAGACTCAAAATTTGTTAACAACAAAAAAACCCCAAAATTTGTTAAAACATCGCAGGAATTAAAATATCTCTATGTAGTTCCTGCATTCCGCAATACTTACACACTCTGATTTCTCTTCCATTCAAATGTTTTTATTTACTCTTTCAGAGTCCCTTTCTCTTGCTGAGAAGACAATCTCATGAGGATTCATAAGCCTCAGGCCAAAGAAGAAACGATCTCTTTAGTGCTGATAACGTAGCTACGTGGTGTAAAACTATGGGACAGCTTTGGTGGTGTTTTGGAAGTTGAAGGAAAATATGCAATTTCAGTTTTATTTTTGTTTTTCAAAGATACTGTTGTTAAAGAGACTGATAGAGGGCTACGTAGGCGTTATACTACTTACTGGTTTGCTTTTTCCTCTGAACAGCCTGGGTGTGCTTCTTACCTTGTTTTTGAAGTTGGGTTACTAGAAGTGATTGTACTGTTTTTCCCAGCTGGATCTTCATTAGGGCTGACCCTTGTGGTGTCTGAAAAACTGGAATGGGAGCAGAAATGAAGGAAAGCCCTTGTGGAGGGGATATTAATACATGCTGAGTAAATACAAATAAGCTGTTTTTCAAGAATTTTTTTGTCTATATAAAGCATTTGTTATTTACTGGAAGAGGATTTTCAGCTGAATCCATGTGATCAGGTTTATGTAGAGTATGTGGCTACAAAAGAATGACAAATAAGCTCTTAAAGATTATACTTTTAGCATTTGCCTTCTAAGCAGGTCTTGTAAAGCACTTTGATGTATCTGATGTACAGTTTGTAATGGTATATTTAGTTCCCAAACTGACTATTAGCCAAGTGAGGCCTTAGCTCATTTTCCATTCTTTAGTCAGGCAAAATTATTACTGAAATCAGTGGGAGACTGGATAAAAGCTCAGTGAGGACTTTGGGATGTGGCTTGTTGATGATAGCCAAATATATTGCAAACAGCTGTTATGCATTCCTGTCCCTGCAGATGTTATCATGGACTCTCTCCACTAGGAAGGCAAATTTCTGCCACGGGATGTCTAGGGACTGTCTCCTTTCCCCGGGGGTTGTGTGTGCTGCTGGATCCGGTGCCAATCTTGGAGAGAGTGGAAACATTGAATTACTCAGTTTTAGGTCTTTTCCAGTAGATGGCAGGATTGGCAAGTTCTTGCTTTTCTAACTCTGCAGTAGTTTGTTCATTGTTGGCTGATGAATTGATATTTCTGGCAGAGAACTTGAAAAAGGAAAGACATTTATTACTAAAATTTTACTGTATTACACTGTGCCAGGTTCAGTTTTGCAGAAAATATTGTGCCCTAGAGTATAAGTCATTTTCAAATGAACAGCTCCAGGTTTACTGAATGTTTCTCTTTAACTCCTCGAGTCCCATGCCATTCGCACCTGCCTAAATGGATTAAAATAACCTCAAGACTCAGCCTAATTCAACTAAAGCAATATTATATTTAATGTTGATAATATTCCATACTTTATTACACCTACATATTACAAGAGCTAGAAGGGTTGTGATGACGTTATTACCTACTATGTAGTTTAACAATATCTGGGAACTTCACATCCTAGTTCTGCTTCAGGATTTCCTGAACATTTTTTCCACTGATTTGGTAGTTATTAAAAATTAAGTGATTTAGGGGCTTAAATTCACTTTTCTAAAAGGAGTCTGTGTCTGTGCCCTGAGATACCTAGGCATCCAAGTCATAGTAACCATGGTTTAATAAATCACTACATATCAACTGAACCATAGCAACCGTCCATGACTGTGTTCTTAGCCTGCAACAAATGTAAGGTAATGTGACTTAACGTGGTCCTTTTTCATTGCTTTCTTTTCATTGATATAAGCTTCTTTGCTTTTCATTTGCCATGAACAGAAATGTATAATTGTATAAATACTGTGAGTCATTTCAGTTTTAAGCTGCAGTTATTTATATGTTTGAACTAATTTTTTCCATTGACTTTAAATGAAAATTATTCTCCAAAATTGTTAAATCCCCGTTTTAAACTGGACTTAGATCCAGATCTATTAAAAAACCTAGATACTACAGGTGTGGCAGGGTTTGACCTCTAGGGATCTGACTTTCAAGTGTATTCCTGGATCCGGGACAATATGCCAAAACTTGCCTTAGAGTGGTCTGGGAGAACTGGGCACCTGAGGAAGGTGATATTTAAAAAAAACACCTTAGACTGAGTGAGGTGATGCTCAGAATCAGGAAATTAACATTACTGTGCTCAGAGATGGACTCCTACCCTCTGTTTGTGGGATTACAGCCATTTTTGTCTGTGGGATGCAAACTCTTCTCCTGCAAGTTAAGGAAATTTATAAGGAAGCTTATAACTATTTTTTGTAAAGACTCAAAGTGCTGCTTCCATATAAGAGGTTAACAATTAGAGTACTAATTTAACAAATGAGTCCCTCAGCTTGGCAGAACTCAAATCCTTGTTATATATATTCCAGAGATTTTTCTAATCCCTAGGCTACATGCATGGCTTGTACGGGGATAATTTGCATCCTTCATACTGAAGGTCTGATAATATTTCTATGGCATTGCAAGATACATTGAATCATAATCACAAAATCATAGACTCATATAATAGTTTGGGTTGGAAGGGACGGTTAAAGCTCATCTAGTCCAACCCCCCTGCAATAAGCAGGAACATCTTCCACTAGATCAGGTTGCTCACAGCCCCATCCAACCTGACCTTTAATGTTTCCAGGGATGGGGCATCTACCACCTCTCTGGGAAACCTGTGCCAGTGTTTCACCACCCTCATTGTGAAACATTTCTTCCTTGTATCTAGTCTAAATCTACCCTCTTTCAGTTTAAAACCATTACCGGACAAAAGAGTGTAATTTTGCTGTGCAGTGGCTTATATGCTCAGATGGCTGGCTCATAGCCTGTTCTCAGAAGCCAGGACTGTCTTCCTTCATCTGAGTGTTAGATGCTGTTCCAGTGATGAGAAAAGATGAGAAATTTCGCTCGTACTGCTCTAAATTTAATGGAAAGTCGTTATGACAGCTCGGGGTTGGGGTTATGATCCCTCTCTCTGTGTGTTAAGTCTGAAGGACTGGACACCTCAGGATGTTCGCCAAAGCCAGACAAAACCAGAGCTGACCTGATTTAGTGTGATGATAGTCCTTCTTCAAGCAAGAAGTTGATCTAGATCTCTAGAGCTGCCTTCCAACCAACATTTCTGTAGTGTGTAAATAGGCACTCCTGAATCCCAGTTTTGTGTTTGGATGGACATACAAGGTGTACAAGTCCTGTCTCTTTGTCTGGCTCCTAAGTTCTAACATTAGTCAGGTTCTTTTGATAATGTATAATTCCCATTTTCATTCTGAATCTACCTGATTTTTCCCTGACTTGAATTTAAGAAGTCTCAAAGCATTGTTTTCTGACAGCTTCAGTAAAATTCCTGCTTTTTTCTGGAGATTAAAAATAGTCTGTCAAGTTAATATGTCTCAGTTCTTTTTTTAGCCTAGTACCTTCACCCAGTGGGTAACTTGGGGGTTTTTTTGGGGCATCATCTGTTGGAGGTATATGTCTCAGTAAGGCATGGGGCAGCAGCTAGAGAGATGTACACAGTATTGTGGCAGTGTCTCCCTTGCTGCAGGAACCCAAGGGCCAGAGACAGCTGTCCCATGGACTGACCAGCTCCATCAAGCACATAGGGTAGAGGAGCTAGAGAGATGATGGGTGTCATGGTATGTATGCTTGATTCCCAGCTGCAAAAAAGCGGAAAATCAGGTAGATTAAAATGGAAAGCATAAAATTTGAAGGTGTGCAACCTCTGCAATGTTAAAAAAGCCTCAGCTGCAGTTCTCCAGTCATCTGAGCATTTTATTTTTTGTTTACAAAATCAAATTTGGCCTGACTTGCAAATTCATAGATAAATTTTTCAAGTTAAATTGTTACCAACAGAATGTGAAAACCTTTGAAATGTCATTAATCAACAATGTTATTCCCAGATTATATTTTATCATCATGTAACACTGCAGTAAATTGGCAGGAATGAAAAATGATTACGACAGAAAATGCTGCAAAATATGTAAACATTTCCCTTGTTTCACATAGCACTAATATAGGGAGCAAATTTTGCAATCCAGGACAATAAAAGTTAAAAAATCTGATGCTCAAAGTCATCAGGGAACATGAAGAGTTATCTGAAAATATCTCCAAGGGAATCTAAAGTGACAGGAAGATTTTGAAGAAGAAGCTGGAGAGCCAAGGAGTCTGAGATTGAACATACTGTGGGGCTTTCTGGAATAGGATAAATGAGATTCAGTAATAGGGAATGAGTGAGGTTAAGAAGGATCTGACGGAACTAAAAAGGAATGCATTCCTTCTGAGAGAATAAAAAAATCCAAAATTTTTTAGAAGATTTGAATAGCTATCCAACATTTGCTTAATTCAAGGGGAATACAAGAACAGTTCAACACTAGTGAAATTAAATATTCAGTGAGAGAAGTAAATTGAACAGACAAGGATCTGATAAATTTCTTAAATGAATGCCAATGTGGGAGAAGACTATACGAGGATGAACAAAACACTGTGTTTGAATTCTGAAGTGGAGCAGACATGGAGTGCTGAGCCCAACATGCATTCTAAGACTTTTGGCAGACTTGACAGGAACCCACTAAGAGACATAAATGTACATACAGTACGAGTTGCAGTTAGCACCACAGCTTAATGGTAGAGACAATATGGACAAGTTGGGTATTCTCTTTCAAGTCTGAAGGATTTTTTTTAGGTCTTCCTTTTGAATGAAATAACTTCTTAATGATTATTTTAAGTTCTTTCTCTTTGTACTGTGACTCTGGGATTGCTGATTAGACCCTTTTCTGTCTGAAATGTAGAGATGGGTCATTCTTTCTCCACTTTGCACAGTTGTTCTTCATTTTAAGTAGTATATTCAGATCAGATGAGATTTAATATTTCTGCAACCTTCATATGAAAGACATATGCAAAGATAAATATAGTCTGGAAATCTGAATCTACTCAAGAGGTTAATGAACATGAGTCTGTAAGCCTCTACAACATACAAACTACTGGTTTCAGCTATTTTATCAGATTTGGTAATGTGATTAACCTGTTCATGAAATTCCCTTTCTTATGCAGAAATGACTTTTCTCGTGCCAAACCCACAGATAACTCTTATGTCACCCTTTCCCTGACTTCAGCCCAGTGGTCGCTGAAATCAATGTTTTGCTTCTTATGCTAGTGGGAGTATGCTAGTTGGAAAGCCAATGGCTTTCAGACCTTACTGATTAAGGCAGAAATGCTCACTGTCCAACTCCTTTATTAACACAGACACATTCTGACACTTGGCGATTCAACCATTTTTTTTTCAATTGAAAAAGAGACATGTTTGGCCATGAGTCAAGTGCCTTTTATATGTGTGTATCCGTATTAAGCTTCAAAAGGATTACCAGCTTCCCTTCTCTGTTTTAGTTATAAATTGATTTAATATAAAATACAAGTTGAGGCTATCATATAACCTTCTCAAGGCTTAATTTGGTCTGGTAACATGACTAAGGTGTGTCAAACAGTAACAATCCACATGAATCATGCATTAGAAGGTGATCAAAAGATTTTATTCAAACACACATATAAATCTCAAGAAAGATTACGGAATATACCTGTATCCTTTATATGCTGAGGCAGATAATTTATTACTGCTAATCCTGAAGATTGTATTTATATCCATTCATACTCAGGAGTTTGTCTGAATGATTTTACTACATACTTACTCTGTCAACAGCAGCCTTAGATTTCTGACATGCAGCCCACTAAGTTTTAGATCTTATATCTATTGAACACATCTGTGAACTGAATTCCATCTTGGAAATAGGTTTTATTTACACCACATTATATCAAATATAATTTATGTCAGTTTCTGCTTTTGTGACCGGTTATTCTGCTGGGTGAAGACAGCAATATGTTTTCAGAGAAAGAGATTGTTTATTTCTAGGTGAGTTAGAAACAAAGAGCCATTTGTGTCTTGGGACTATGTAACCAAAAGGAGCAATTGTAGCCTGGACTCATCCTACACAATCATGGGAACTGGTAAGTAAAGTTCCCATGTCAACTGAGGTCAAGGAAATCCTGGGGAAATAAATACTCTACTGTTTTATACTCTTAAAGCCTGTGAAATTGGAAACTTTTACTCTAAAATGTTATTGCCTCAAGTATGGGGAAAAGTAAATTTTCATGCACAGTGGGATGTTGCGCCTGCAGCTCCACCCCACAAAAAGCAGAAATAGTGTTTCTACTTCCATATACATCACGCTGGAAATGTGCCCATGTAAAATACGTTTAAACAGCCTAACATAAAATAAGATCAACCTTCTGAAACTATAAGGAGGAAAGGACAGTTAATTTCAAAAGATCATTGTAAGAATATTGATAGAGATGGGAAAACAAAACTATATTCATGCTAACTCCCTCTATTTAAGTTCAAGAAGATGAATGTTCTGGGTCTGTGATATGTACGCAAGGATCATCCAGTTAATCTCAGTCAACATGTCCATCACTTAGACACAGAGAAATTGTTTGTTATAAAGAACATGTGATTTTTTTGTAAGAGATGCGGTGGGGCAGTGCAGGACTCTGAAGTAAGCTCAGCAGCTGAAAGCAACCAGGCACATTTCCCTGTTCTATTCAAAATGCTAGACACACTTTTCTGACACCTGTCCTCCAGTAATAAACACAAATGGTAAAGACATTTGAAAGAAAAATTTAAAAGAAAATTATAAAGAAACCAGTTATGCAATTTTGCTTCTGAGCCAGGGCAGAGGAAGGAGAAATCACCACTCCTGGAGGCCAGTCTCCCATTGCACTGGGAAGTGCCTGGGCATTGTCACATGTCTTTTCAATCCTAGCTTAGACTGCAAAAGATACCACTCTCCTGAGCAACGCATCAGCACACCAACTCGAAATCATTGTTCCCAAGAGCAACGGAGCAGAGAGGTTGTGCAAGCGGTCCTTAGTTCAATTCAGTACAGAGTTAAAAAGAGTGACAGTCATGGATTGCTTGAGCTAATTTGGCTGACTTTGTGCTAAGCTAGACCAAAAATGCCCTCACTTTCTGTTCCATCAGGTTTTCTGTGGGACAAGTAACCTTCAGCCTAAACCCAGAAATGAACAGGTCAAATTAGGCCTAAAACCTGTCAGCTATTTGCAAAGCAAATAGTGCCTAAGTCTTGAGAGAACACAGAATAAGAATTGGAGAAGGCTAGTCAGTTTTCATCAGTTTGAGACATCTGAAAATGCCTTTTTAGACAACTTTAGAGGATTATGTGTTTCATTTTCTCTCTGTGCTGATTATGGAGCATTTACTATAGACACATGAAAGTTTGCAAGAAAAATCAGAATATATTTTACGGTTTTAAGAAAATCCAGTATTCATTATTTAAAGGTATGTAGGATATATTATGTTTGCTGCAGAGTATTGTTATAAAATTGTAGATAAAGCCACTCATCAAAGATTAACTATATTATGAGAAGGAAGGGGAGACAGAGGAGAAAAAGAGAGCAAGAGAGAGGTGGGGGGAGAGAGAGGAAGAGGGAAGGAGAGAGAACACCTCCATTTATTGTCAATGACTGGAAACCTGCCCATTGTGGTATGTGTTTTGCTGCACTCTACTTCGCTTGAAGGCTATGAAAGATCTTTTACTGTAAATTTAAATTAGAGGTTTTGAAATCAAAATGATGATGAAACAACCAGGATGATTACATTTTTCTACTGTAGAGGATGCATTAGTGTTTTATAATATCAAATGCAATATCATTTTGGAATAATATACTCCATAAATGTAGCACCACCACATTTTTCAGGAGCAAATCTATCTAGGCTATATATTAAATAATTTTTTAATCTTTTTGTGGTTTGTAGCCCCCTGAGCACATTCCAAAGGATATATAGTCTCCTCAAGTAGCAAAATTGACTGATAACAGGCTTGCTTTTCTTAGCTATCTGTCATGGGGACCCTAGTGATAGGTTTCCAGAGTCCCAAGACCAGGTCAAAAGAACTGAGTTACAGTAAGCTACCTTCAACATGATTGGAAAGTAACAGAATGATAAAAATTCATTTTCTACACAGTAATTTCTCTTGTAACTGGAAACACGGTGTTTAAGTGTGATATTTGCAAAAGAATTCGGTGAACTGCACTTCTACTAAAACTGCATTTTCTTACAAGTAAGTAAGGAAGAGAAAAATGACCGATTTACCTGTTAGTTGGTAGATGTTGCAAGGATTTGATAAACTGGGGATAAACAATCGTGGTATTTGGTGAGCTAACCATCTCTGGCTTTTCCTGCTGGGTTTAGATCAAAAAAAAATATAGGATAGGATTTTTTTAGAGTGCTTAATATTGGCCTACAGGTCTCAGCAGTAACAAGGTAGGCAATGACTCATTCAGAAAACAGAGAGTCTGAATCACACAGTATTTGCCTCACTTGGACAAACACTTCTGAACAAAGAGAAAAGTGTTTAGGATTGGTTCAAGTATTTTTAAGCTCAAGTTACAGGTTTTTAATACGTAACAGCATGTGTTCGCTGATTTGAGTTTCTTAGGGAGCTCAGATGTATAGATAGGTCAAGATCCAAGAAATCAATCCCAATTATTTTTTCCAGTTTTCTAATCTTCTGCTGATGAATAATGAGAGGCTGAATCCTGGACCTCTCCTGTTAAGGGGTAGAGAAAAATGTGCTCTGGTGGATTCAAGAATATTACTTGTAGTGCTTTGAAAATACTCAATATTTAGACAGGAGAGTGACTAAAACATTATCTTCTTTGTCACTAATGTGCTTAGGGATTTTAACCTGAAAAGTATTTTGCAATGATAACTTGAAGTTAAGCTAGTTAGGTGGCACTTTATGGATAACTAAGTTCCTCGTGTTAAGTTCCGTATTTACTTTAGGCTGTTTTCTTAAAAATACAATTTAAATTTATACTCATAAGAATTAAACAAAATACTGACTAAGCACTTCTTTGTCTATAACAAATTTTCCCCAAGGATTAACTCTTCTTTTCCAGTTAATAATGAATGATATTGGATGGACTGCACTCAGCACTTTATTTCATTAGGCTGATGTGCATTTCATGGCCATGCTTTGCTGTGAGATGCCATGTCACTACTTGGAAGACATTAAAAAAGTGTCCGAAGGGGAGCATAAGAAAGCTATGTTGTTGTTTCAGTTGATCCCCCTCCAGACCCTCTTTTACTGTCTCCTGTGTTTGTGAAACTGTGTAGCTTTCAGACTGACTGTGTTATGAACTTCTAATACACTGTTTAAAAGGACATCTCTAGGGTTTTTTTACACAAGTCATTAAATCACAGCACTCTGTTTCTGCTGGGTTTTTAAACAGACAATGATGGCAGTGGTGGGCTCAGCTAGAGAGTGAGGGGACATACGCTCTGTCTTGATAGCTGCTGACCCTCTGGGAGTTTAGGAAAGCTGAAAGGTTACTGGAGTCTTTGCAAACAAAGGAAGCCAAAAAGCAATTATATTAGCTGGGATTTGTCCATATTACAGCTATGACTGTCATCATCTAATATACACGTCATAAACCTGATGAAATCATAGTTTCCCTAGCAGTATAAAGAAGATTATTTTTTCCAGTCTCCTTGATTTTTTTTATGTTCCTTCAGAGTCTTCAGCATTTTGGGACCATTCTTGGCTTTCAATCAAGTTGTCTGGGGGAACGTCAAGACAGAAAATAGAGCAGAAAGCAAGGGGTTTTCTTCATTTGTGTTAGCTTCATACAAGCATAATTCACAAGAGCTTTGTCTGATTTACATTAGCATAAGCACAGGCGAATCAGGCCCAAAATTCCTTCCTTCATACTCCTTTCTATCTAGTCAATTAACTACTTCTTTAGGAAATGATTGAAGATGTTACATTTACATGAATATGGAAGAAATATGAAGTGATTTCATACCTGTAGATTTGTTGTCTCTTCAGACCACCACATTTCAAAGTCTTTTTGCAGCTTCATCTTGACTTTTTCCATAAGAAGTTGCAGGTGCTCAATCTCTACCTTCAGCCCTTTCAAGCGATTGAACATTGATTTATAACTAATATGAGAAGAAGAAAGTATATTACAGATCTGTCAATACATATCTGAACAAAGCTTTATCCTACCTAGAACAGTTACAGATGTAAACTACAAAAGAATATATAACAATCAATCAGAGATGCAGGGGACACAGACAGAGTGGTGGTAGGAAAAGACATCTCATATTTTATAAGAGCTTCACTGTACAATAAAGTACAAGAAACTTATCCCACAAAGCTTTTATTTCACTAAAGAAATTACTGAAATTCAAGTGGGATCAATACTGATTAACAGTTACAATACAGGTTCAATCAAATATGTCAGTTATTTCTTTTGATTTCTCAGCATGTTACCATTAATAAACAACTGGTCACCAGAGTCTGGATTCAGATAGGAGCTGAGGACTCATTCCCCTTTCAGATGGAAGCTTCATTAATGAGGCCTCTTGGCTAACTTATAGTTGGAGATTTACCAGTAGTATGAAATAGCCAGAAGTTTCCTCACAGATTGCACATACTATAAATGATAGAAAATTATTTAGAGTTGATATCCTTGCATCTATTTTCTTTTATCCTCCTGGCTACAGCAACATTAGAGCAAATAGAAGAATTGGTTAATCAGTGCATATTCTGCATATTATTTACACTTAATCAATCCTGTACAGCCTAAAGATTTTCCTTAGGTCAAGGAGGGCAGGACATTTCTGAATCAACCAAAAAGGTTCACAATACATTTGGATTCAAACAACAAGTTTCTAACACTGATCCTCAGGGAGGACATTAAGCTATTTTTATTTATTTTTAGCCTTTAGCCCAAGCATAAATTTTTCCCACTCAGGTACTGTGGCATCTTACAGACAAACCAACAGCATATACACAAATTTAAAAATTCTTAATGAACCACAAAGCTGACGTTTTTAAAATGTCAGAGACAGCCTTGAGGGTAGTTGTGTGTGCAGAACTGTAACTAATATACTATCAGTACAATTTATCTTCTGAATAATGGCAGAAGTTTGAGGCAGAAATAATACCTTTTTTTTTCTTCTTCAATTTTTGTTCGAAGTTCCTCTTCTACAGGATCGAGCATATTTAGTTCTTCAGAAGGATTGGAAACAGCTATAGGAGAATGATCAGATGTAAACAATGACCATATGATGTCAAAAGAAGCAACTTCTAATTAGAATTAAAATTATTTTTAAGAGGAAGGTAATGAAATGTGGGTCATTAACCATTTCTCTCTTCCGGAAATGTTTCTTCAAATTCCTTATTTAGGCCTTACGTAGTATAAGAGACACTTGACAACTTTAGTGATTAGTTGCTTTTAAATTTTTTTTTCAGTGAAGATTGGAAAATTTATTTTAGATATGAATAAAAGCGAGCTTGCCAGTCCATTTAAAAAGTTTGTCTTTGGCATAAAACCCTACCAAATGCATTCAACCTGACCATTTTGGCTACAAAGACTAGAACAGCAAAGCTGTTGCAAAAAGAAGAGACAACAGTAGCTGTGCTGGTGCCTGGAAATAGAGTAACAGAAAAAAGAGAAAAGACAGATCATGAAGGAAAAATTAACTTTGTAAGCAATAAATTCAGACAATTAGTATAAATAAGGAAAATGTCCTGAAACTATGTGAGAAATTTCTCAATGTAAAGGAGAACTGAGGAAATACTTTAAGAGTAGCCTAAGATAATCTAAGCAAGCAGCTTAGGATTTCCCTATCCTGTAACAGAGCTAGTTAGCATGCAATACACAATATGCTTATTATGAGAAATGGCAAAACAGTCTTTCCATCATGGTTTATATGTTCAGTGGTGAAAAGAAATGTGAAGTTACCTACTAGTATTACAACAGTTTCTATTTCTAGGATGAATGAGAATAGTTTAAGGTTCCCAAGAAAACATGCTTAACCTTTCTAACTGAAGAAAAATGAAAGAAACAAAAGATTTGCTGTACAACACATGCAAGTTTCCATTCCGACTATTATTTCTGCCAAGAAAATAAATTCTACCTCAACCTGTCATGAGGCCTGAGGAGTGCACCCTCTCTTCAAGGAGAGGAATTCTGTCTGGAACAAGAGGGCAGTAATGACCCCTCTCTGCCTGTCAGCACGCCAGCCGAAACCATTAATCTTTTGTTGTAGCACCCTGTAGCTTAATACAGATGAAGCTGAAAAGCATTTTATTCATTTAGAGTACTCAGGTCAAGCATGCTAATACAGACAGCCAAGGTGGACAAAGCCCATGCACAATTCTCATTTTAGACACTGAAAGGCTTTGCTGGATGTGCAGGTTACAAAAGAAGGATAGGGTGAAAACATTTGTCATGCAGAGGGTACCCTCAAAAGTTTAAAAAATAAACTGCTTGGAATGTTAAAGTGAATGTGCAAGCCAGGAGGTGCAAATATCACAGCAGAAGAGATGCTACAGCAGTGGCATTGTATAACAAGCTATAACCAAACACAAAAGATAAAAAGAAGGCCATAATAATCATGTCAGAATCTTTAAGAAAAGCCTTCCAATGATTACAGGGAATCAGGATTTTCTGATTTGTCAGATTTCTTCCTCAGGAGTAGGCATAATGCGGGAAAGCGCAGAGCTACACAGGGAACTCGAGGGGAGATACTCGCTGCAGAGCTCCTGAAGGTCCACATTTGTTCTGTGCTTCATGAATACGCAGCATGCAGGCTTGAGAGAAATATGCTCTTGTGGAACAAACTGAAACGATTTAGGGAGTTACCTCCTCCCAAGTGAGCCATACTCACAGGCCATGTGAGCATCCTTAATATGTTTCCGTGCAAAGCCAGCCAGGCTTAGCTTGAGCTGTCTTCAGCAGAGGTTAAAGGGGACTCTCCTGAGGATACTGAACTGCATTTGGCTCATACACACAATCTGTTACGGTGCCTGAGTTCAGGAGGTAGCAGCTCTAGCCCCTTGTAATGAAGGGAAATAATAAAAGTGGAAGACAGTAACATTTTAAAGTGTTCATGCTGTTTCTGAAGTGAGAACTTCCCTATATGAAAACATCACCAAATTCTGCTAGTCATTACAGAGTGATGCAAGGCCATAATACTGCAGCTTTCCTTCCCTGACTTATTTGGACATCTAGTACTTGGAAAAATATTTTCCACTGGCTCTCAAAGGGCAGCCAAACTTAGGCAGAACTTGATCACTTTTGTATAAAAACACTGAGAAAAATGTTTTTCTGCTGCTGCTTACACTCTGTAGAAGGGCCTATTTGGTTGCAAGTTACCTCAGAAATAATAATGAAGCATTTTATGTGAGACAAGTACCTCTATGACACAAAGGCCCCAGCATCCTCAACCCTGAATACAGCTACACCCATTATCTCTAGCAATATGCTGGTGATAAAAGCCAGAAACACAGCTATGGGCAAGGTGAGCAGCACAAAGCTTTGCATATGTACACAACAGAAAGAGATGAGTACACTGCAAGGTGATGTGGCCCCAGCAGCAAAAATAGCATTGGATCTTTCATCAAGTAAATGGCTACAACTTAGACATCCATCAGTGTGTTCCAGTCACAAAAGCAGAAGAGGTCTGATCACAGTGTCAGGTGAAGTCCAGCGGTAAGTCAAGTCTAGGACATGCCTACTTGGACACTGCTTTGTAAGTTCTCTGATGTCTTCTCCCATGCCGTTGCAGTCTCCATTTCAGCTTTTTCTCATGCCTGCTCATTGCAACAACTGCAATGAGCAGGATGTGAACTGAATAGCATTCTGCTCTAGAGACTAGACCGTTTTGAATCTGCCTACTGTAATATATACAGATGAACAGATGCCTCTTTCCTAAAGTTCCAAGCAAAAGAGATCTATGACCTGGTGGAGTGTATTTCAACCCTTCCGTCTGCTGCCGCTTCTGCCTTCTCCTCATTCCCTGCTACCTATTTTCTCCCCTCTTCCCTTTACATTTCCTGAATCCCTGCAGTGGCCTCTTTCTGCCCCTGGGTTTCTGCTGCTGCCACCTCACACATCTCTCCTTCCACCAGCCCAGGCAATTTCAGCTACAGCTGAAGCTAGGCAGCTAAGGCAGAGGTTACTGGCTCATTGTATCTCATGTCTCATGTTAGCATTCTTCATCAGGTAGGCTCAGTTATTTTAAAATAGCATGAGAGGGACAACTGAGTGAATTGACAGTAAAATGTAGAAAGCATAATATTTACTCACAAGTTTAAGATGGATACCTAAGAAGAAATATTTTATTTTTGCTGCAGGTTTTTATTCCTCTAAAGAGTTTCCTTTTGTTGTATATATCTGCCTGCCCATGCAAGAACAGAAAATGTTTACTGAAAGATCAAATCTTTTTATCTATGTATTAACCACATCTATACGAAGTACATGTAAATTAAGAAAAACTGCAAATTCACGAGACCAACTTTTGCCCATATACATTTAAAAATTTGCAATACATTAAGAAGTGCAGAGGTGCTATTGCTGAAATATTAACTATCCAATATCACTTTTGCAACTGCACTGAAGAACATGAAGTGCTATCATCTGTTTTGTTCACTCCGGGTTGACGTTTCGTTAATTGATTGACAGTTTGTCATATAAAACTTGAAACTAGTTATAATTATTTTATTCTAATGAACGGGTCAATTTTGGAGCACAGGAAGTAGTGAATTTTACGGCACATTCCACATCACCAAATCACACAGTACCAGAAAGAAATGATAGCACCTGCTAACTGGATCACTATTTCAAGGCATTATGGCAAGCATGGATGAAAAACACTATTTCTAGCATGAGATAGCAAGTGTTATCACCATAGTTTACTGAAAGCTGGCAACAACTTGAAATACTCTGGCAAATTCTTGTCTACAAGTCAGAAAATTTTGCAAGAAACTCTCTGTGACCCTGAACTTTATACTCTCATATATTTCTTGACCTAAGTGTATCCTAGAAGTCAAACTCCTAGGGATTTATTGTCTTGTGCCTCAAATAACATTGTGCCCTGCCCTCCCACTGTACAGTTGCAGTCAAAGATTTTCATTTTTTCACTGGATAGTCTTGTGTTTATCTGCTTAAATTTATAGTCACTTGAAGTAACCAAATTTAGAATTTACTTCAGTATCCAGTTAATATTTTTACTGCTTTATTTATCAGCTTTGCAGCTTTTGGCAAACTCCAGCTTTAGTGTTTTCAAACCGGAGCATGTGCTGTCATTTGTTTTTTTAAAAAAGAACTACCCATCCATTGTTATTCAGGATCAGCTTACAAGTAATTCTCCCCTTCGTCTGTCTTATTTCTCCCCTGGGCCATGTCAACTTATGTTTGTCAGTGGGCACCACATGTGTACCTTGTACAAAAGCAAAAATGGGTATGCACAATGAAACTCAGGAGAAGATGAAAATACTCTAATGTCTGGAAGAGTTTATATTGTGGGTTTTAGAGCAATTTACCCCTAATCCTAATGTAATAGATTTTTCAAAGTTTCAGCCAGTTGGTCATGAGCATACATTGAAACAAACTGTCCTATTTTCAGCACTTTACAAGTTAGTGCCTGTGTGTGGGATTAAGGGCATCTGTATTTTGTTGATTATTATTTTTATTTTAATCACTGAATTTAGTAAAAGGGTCTATTGGTATGCTGCTTTTCTTTGTACCATTGTATTGTTTACTGTTTTACTGGCTTAATGTTGGCCCAAACTAACTGACTTCCAATGCACACCTGGAAAGTGGAGCTATTTTTTCCAGTCTCTGTGAGCTGTTTTGGCTAAATACAGACTCAAACTTCAATTCCCTGAAGTATCTTCTTTGAAACTAGTCATCTATATATTTGCTCCTGAAAATACATGGCATATGAAACAGAAGGCGTTGCCTTCACGTCAGCTGCACTCAAGCCATGAAAGTTTCTGAAACCATTGTGGCTAAAAGTTCTCTGTTGGTTTCCAAATATACAAGTACAATATAGTGAGGAAAGAAAAAAAGCAGCTTCAAGTTTAATATGTTCCATACACATCAGTTGATCTAGTGGAATAGTAACATAGCTGGGTCTTAGGAAGCCCCTACTAACTCAGATTCTGCCTACACTTAATAAGTACATTGTACCATTTGATTACACGAGATTATTGTTGCATCATTGATCTTGTTCATAATATTA